TTATGTTTTAAGCCCGATTTCAATTTATAAAATTGTCTAACCCTTCCCCCTCTTTATGAGAAGAGTTTTAAATGAGCAGTTAACTTTTTGACACTGGTTTTAAAATAATTAATCCATTACTTATAAACTCTTCTACAATAATAATAAAACTTGGCAGAAGTTGTGAAGGCGAGGATGGAGTATATGGAAAGAAGGAGTATTTCCTCTTAAAAACAAAAGTCTAAATCCCACGCTTTCTTGCAGGCATATGATTCAATTTTTTTGACGGGGTGGGGGTTGCATTGGGGGTGGGGGTTCGGGTCACAAACGAAAAAGAACAAACTTTAAGTAGAGCCTTGAATAACTTCTCTTGGATGTTGTTAATAAAGCAAGATGCAGTCATGGAAGTAGAATAATGTGTGTGTACTGGACAGGTACAGTCGTGAATGTTGTTTATAAGGCACAGGTACAGTCAGGGAAGTAGAATAAAGTGTGTGTACTGCACAGGTACAGTCGTGGATGTTGTTTATAAGGCACAGGTACAGTCAGGGATGTAGAATAAAGTGTGTGTACTGCACAGGTACAGTCGTGGATGTTGTTTATAAGGCACAGGTACAGTCAGGGATGTAGAATAAAGTGTGTGTACTGGACAGGTACAGTCGTGGATGTTGTTTATAAGGCACAGGTAGTCATGGATGTAGAATAAAGTGTGTGTACTGCACAGGTACAGTCAGAGATGCTGTTTATAAGCACAAGTACAGTCATGGATGTAGAGTAAGATGTGTATACTGGACAGGTACAGTCAGGGATGTTGTTTATAAGGCACAAGTACAGTCATGGATGTAGATTAGAGTGTGTGTACTGCACAGGTACAGTCAGGGATGTAGAATAAAGTGTGTGTACTGGACAGGTACAGTCGTGGATGTTGTCTATAAGACACAGGTACAGTCATGGATGTAGAATAAAGTGTGTGTACTGGACAGGTACAGTCGTGGATGTTGTTTATAAGGCACAGGTACAGTCATGGATGTAGAATAAAGTGTGTGTACTGCACAGGTACAGTCAAGGATGTTGTTTATAAGCACAGGTACAGTCATGGATGTCCGGTACCAGCATTGCCGAGTATAGTTGCGGATGATAGCTGACAGCCACTGTTGGCAACACGTGCTTCTCTTAAAGGGGCTTAGACACAGATTTGAAGTAAATATTTTCTCAAATTTTCTGTATAATATGACTTATATGTTATTATAGCATTTCACACGGAAATATAATAAAAAACTTATATTTTATCTGGAAATTATTAAAACTACAAATTTCGGGACGCGTTTGATTGACACATTATTGCACTTTCACAAAGTAAACTTTATCCTTAATACTTATGAAAAGTAGAAATTTTGTTGTGTATTAATGAAAAATATTAAAACTATAATCCAGAAAATTCAGAGTATAAGAAATATGAGAAAGCAAGACCAACTCACCAGTATTGTTAGTCCGTGCTCATTGATGTGTGCAGAGTTTAACAAATTGAACACATCCGTGAAACGTAAACTGTTTCTGGAAACAGAACACGAGCTCTGTTTGTTAATGTTTACGTTTCACGGGATGTGTTTAATTGTTAAACTCTGCACTTAGACACTTAGATTTGAAGTTAATATTTTCTCAAATTTTCTTCATAATATCATGACTTATATGTTGCTATAGCATTTCACACGGAAATATAATTAAAAAAAACTTATTTTATTTGGAAATTATTAAAACTACAAATTTCGGGACGTGTTTGATTGACACATTCTTGCACTTTCACAAAGTAAACTTTATAATGCGTAAACTGCCCCAATCCAGGTTATACCAGCATACCTTGGGTAGCTATTAAATTCATTCCTTAAATAAGATTATTTTTAATAATTTATCATTTGATTGGTTATTGTTTTACGTCCTTTCCAGGGATTTTTTCATTCATATGAGACTATAAATACCTGTGAAGATCACTCAAGTCCATTGAGCAGTTCTTTAGCGTATCAACACCTACGGAACCTACGTTTTAAGGTCATATCCGATGATCCGCGAGATTCACTTCTAATGTCAGTACTTGACACACAGGCACTTGTTTGGGTAATAAATTTTTAACCCATAGTATAATAATAACACAAGGTATCTAACTCTGAATTACACGGAGTACCCCCCTCCCCCAGAATCGCACCCATTTACACTTTCAGAGGAAATACACTGACAAACTGTTTATACCTATGTTTTCTACGATAATTTATCTACACAACCATATATGGCATGCTTGTCTTTATTTTCTTTAGTCTCCGTAAACAGCGTCAAAACTCTGCTCGTCGAGTGGAAAAGTCGAATTCAACCATGAAATGGTATGTGCTAATCCCGCACAGAGATTTTGATTGGCTAAAAATCTGTTTCTAAAATTACATCGGATAAACATCGTAAAGTTTTCAGGGAAAATCAGACGTAAACAAGTTCTATTTGCTCATGCAATATTTAAACACTGGAATTGAATTTTTAAACCCACTCATTTTTTAATTTTGTTCTCTGTGCGGGATTAGCACATACCATTTCATGGTTGAATTCGACTTTTCCACTCGACGAGCAGAGTTTTGACGCTGTTTACGGAGACTAAAGAAAATAGACAAGCATGCCATATATGGTTGTGTAGATAAATTATCGTAGAAAACATAGGTATAAACAATTTGTCAGTGTATTTCCTCTGAAAGTGTAAATGAGTGCGATTCTGGGGGAGGGGGGTACTCCGTGTAATACGGAGTTAGATACCTTGTGTTATTATTATACTATGGGTTAAAAATTTATTACCCAAACAAGTGCCTGTGGCTTGACAAAGGAATAGTAACTAACTATGTTAAACGTCTTAGGTTTGACAGGGCAGCGGGAACGAGAATCAAACCCGAGCCTCCCGATCACGAGGCGAACGCCCTATCACTGAGATACCGCGACCGATAAATAATATTTGGTGAAAAATGAAAAAAAAAAAAGAAATTGAATCTTATTGACAACAAAAATTAAGGCACAATATGAATTGCATTTCTAACACAACTTCAAAAGATCATCTGTTCCTGTGGCAGAGCTTTACGTACGATCAATTTCTAAAAGTCAGACTACTGAGAAATAAGTTGATGTTACAAGGGTACAATAGCTAGTCTCGTTTAAAAACAACCTTTTGAAAATTTTATGTTAGGTACCGTGACATTATTTGCAAATACAAACTATCGTTGGGTCGAAAGTTGAATGACGCTTTAAATACAAATTGTTAGACCTAGATTTCTAATCAACTAAGACAAAAATATGCAGGTAATAATGAATTATTACTACCTAAATAAGGAAAGTTGACAATAAAAAGTTAAAGCCATCATTTGTATTGGCCTAATTTACACTGCTGCCATACTGCAGATAAACACAGGGATATCTGTGATATGTATCTTGTGAAACAATTTATTTTACCTCAGTAGCTCTCTTTCATGCGGTTTGGATCAATTAATAGGTAAAATAATGTTATGATGATATCATGTAATGCATTTTCTTGAAGGTAATAAAGTTCAATCCTTAAAACAAGCAATATTTTGCATGTAAATGGGGGATTTATTGCTACAGTATACGAGTAATATAACATATTTAATAGATTAGCACTTTTTATTATGCTCCCGATTTGTATTTCAATGGACTTTTAATTTTAGCTTGATTTCAGTTCGTTATCGTTATATTTCATTAGTACTTTTCATTATATCAGAAATTACAACTACTTGTAGTCTTGCTCAACAAAACGTTGACAGTTGTCTTCTTTATAGTTCTATCCACTCAGTTTAATTAATCACTCAGTGGACTGTAAAAAATATCGAGTACCATCTCATCACAACAACCTGTAGTATAATCACAACAACCTATTTCTTCCATGATTTTTTTTAAAAGGCAAAATTATGTAATTCACATTTTTTCCCCACAAAAATGGCCACATTTTATCATTTTTTTTTATATTAAATTGGTTGTTATTTTACTGAGAGTACAATATAAATAGATACACCAAATGTACTATGATTTTTCATTTTGATCGACTGAAAAACAAAAGTTTGAATATTTACTATAAATAGATTGCACATAAATCCTGAAAGAGGTCAAGCACAATATTGAACTTGACGTCAAACAGTTAATTTGACACATTTATTTAAAGCAAGATCATTCTTAATTGATCAAGTCGATCCTTGGGGAAAACTGCACCCCGTATTGTTCAATCGCACCCTGTACTGTCCATAAACGCATCCTGTACTGTTCATATGTCTTTCTAAATGTACATGTATATTTTAATCATACAGACACAGAGCTTGATGAAGGACTTCTTTGTAAATTCATACTTTCAAAGACTGCATCTTTTTTTTTCAGTTTCTAAATATTTGTGATTTAATATTCTGTCGGTATGTCAATTTTACACTAGGTGATAATTCATTCCCTGTAATTTAACCTAATTATTGTAAGGCATCAAAATAATCTGCACCTCAAAGAGGTTAAAATTTAAAAGGATTGCAAAGCAATTAGTGTTCGATCACTGCAGAACCTTTATTCATGATAATCAATACAAGAACTCATTCGTGATAATCAATACAAGAACGCATAGCAGTTCTTTACGCATATATACAATTTGCATTGCCTGTTGTTAGATGCTTCCGTCTTTATATACTTTACATTTTAACTTTTTGTTCTAGGTAATTACGCACAAAAAATAACAGCATTTAAATGCTATGTCCCGATGAATACCTCATTTTCCACAATGCATTCTATCCGGAATGAGTTCAAAACATTTCTTGTTCAAATATTTCTGTCTTAAAGAGAGAATATCAAACTTCAATGATGAATGGGATTCTATGTTTGAAACAATGCTAGAAGTGAAAGAAAAGTTGAAGAAGACCATGTTTATAATTAATTAGATTCATCAAGCAATCATAATCAATTGCTGTTTGTTAAATTGATATAATAAACATCAGTATTTTTCATGCACAATGGAGGGAAACTATTATAGAAAACATCCAGCAGTTTACGAAGACCTTGGGTGGAACTATTATGGGGTAAGGTTATGAATTTTTTAACATACGAAATGCCCTTTTCTGTGTAAAATACATTTTATCTTGTATCTTTCGGATTTAGATTTTAAAAAAAAAAATTGTGTCAGAAAACAGATGTATTTTTTTTTTTTTTTTTTTTTTTTTTTTTTTATAGATAAATGAAAATAAATCAAGATTTGCTGAGGATTTATTAAAAAAAAACAATTAAATCGCTTTTAAAACATTTTTGTCATAAATATCACTCTCATAAAAGAGCGTAGTTCTAGCTGACTGACGAATTGTTTTTTCATTTAAAATATATATAGTTCTAGGTCACTGATGTAAGATTTGATAAAACTTGAATTATGCTAAATAAAGCACTAGTTCTATATTTACTCCTTATAGGGTTTCCTAAAATTAGAATAAATATTTACACTATCTATTATATTTATTTATTGAAATGAATTTTTAAGAGAGAAAGGTGAGAATTTAATACAACAATAGTTAAATCAAGATACAAAATAAGGGAGATAAATCAATCAAAAAATCCATCATACGGACATCAACAATATTCTCTCAGCCTTCCATGTTTAATTTTTCGTTCTTAGCACAGGCAAATTACTATTAGTAACTAGATTAAATGAAATAGAAAAGTGAATTGCTTTACATAAATGCTTTAATTTCTAACATGGCTCAAATTTCATGGATCATAGGATAATTGAAACAAACTAGATCTTCATTAAAATTAAACTAAGTTTTCTGTGGCTTGTGACAACATTTTCAATAAACACCCGCCGAATATTTTACTGTGAATAAACTTTAGAGTAACATAATCAAACTCTCAGTATCATATCATACTTGTATGAAAGTTAATATGACTGACCATCTTAATAAAAGACAATTGGACGAATAGATAAATATATAAATGCTATGATGAAATTAAAGATATATCCCTTTAATAGATTTAAAAGGTTACAATTTAATTCGAGGTAACTAAATTTTTGTTCCCTATCATCTTGAGATCATTCCTATTAACTTTATAAGGTACTTCATATCTAATATGAGGCCCTAAGAAAATTTATAAAAAAAACTTTCAAAAATCTTAAAGTTAACAATCAAACAATTCAAAAATTAACTCAACCACACATATGCGTCGATTCCACTAAACAAGAAATATCCAACTGCGTTTTATTTCTCGTTTCATTTTTCAAGGGCAGGTCTTAAAAAATACCTATTTATTTTATAATAATTTTTGCCTTCAAAGTCTCTTTTGAGGTGGAGATCTAATTCAGTTATTGACAATCTACAAAAAATTTGAAAACCTTAAGTAAATTATTTCAAAACAATACAATAATTTGCATTTTGTAAATGAAAGGATGAGAAATTTAGAAGTAGCCTGTTTTTTTGTTGTTGTTTTTTTTACAGTATCCCACAGTAATTGACACCCAGGCCTACTCGGGGAAGGATAGCTCCTCTAGTGGTCAGACTGACTCAATACAGGGGAGGAAGTCAAGGTGCTCTACTACTGTCAAATTAGCGTCCTTCTGTTTGACCATCATCCTGATAGCTCTTATTTGTGGGATCATATACTTATCCCATCACAGAGGTATCTCAATTCAATTCTCTCATTCCACAAATAATATACGTTTTATTTCTTTCCGTAAATATACTTTAATAATTAATTTTTGAAAAATAACTCGTTTTAATTTTTTTTTCAGATTCCAGCATACGTTATTGTGAGTTATACATATTTTTGGAATAAGAATTTTCGAAGTTAATCCAAAAAATATATAGGTGTTTTGATTTAAAATTTCGATATTTTTTATGTTTACACAACATAAAAGACTATATAAGTTTTTAAAAAGATAATTTTAAAGAAATATTTTATCTAATGTTTTCATACGCATTTTATTTATGTAAAATTATTTTTGAAAGAGTTGGGGTTTTTTTTTCAAGTTAACAGTAATGGTGTTTTCTTTGATGTTTTATATCAAAAGTAATGGTTTATATAACAGCATTAGGTATCATACAGAAAAAAAAAATTTAAATTCATGAATTATTAGCTTGTTGAATTCTGAAATTTTTTACTCATTTATTGCAGATATTTCCGAAGGAAGGATGACGATTAAACAAGAATACACAACAAATTTAGGAAACAAAAATTCGGAGGAATACTTAGCCTTTACATCTAAATTTTGTGTTCAGGTAGAGTTATGTATCTATTTTGTAGTAAACTCCTAACGAGGTTCATAATCATTACTTACTTTAAATTTCTTACTTTTGACTAAAAGGGGATTTGAATCCTGAACTTTCTGCTAAGGAATCAACTTGTGTCCAATCTCATTGACATATTGTTAATAAATATACAATAACAAAACAAGAAATAAACGCTGTATATAGCTAAAGAAAGGCTTGGTAAGGAATACTATGTGGTACTACATGTATATTGTACATGTATTCTATGTGAGATTGTGACCATTGTTGTAAAAACACGTTTTTAGACATTGTTACAGTACCGCTTTTGTCAGAGAACCAAAGATAAATGAAAAGGTACCGAATGTAAAAAAAAAAAAAACAGGAATGTTTCTTAGTAAGACTTATCCAGGACGCCAATTTACCTATTGAAAAGTACTTCAAAGATGCCAAAAACATTTGTATATTGTATATTTAACGTTAATAGTTGTAATCCTATAAACGTTTTTATCTAAGTTCTGCTTCTTTTTAGATGGAAAAAACTTTTAAGACAAAGAGCAGTTCCTATGGCAGCACTTACCAGTCCTGTGACGTAAAGAGTCTAACGTTTGTTTAAATTCCTAACATATCTGCCTTTCGAGATTTTCTACTGAGCTTTTGTTATTTAAACGAATTTATTGTATACATCTTATTGACATATTTAGATATTTATTCTAGGCCTGGTAGTATAATTGTGACTTTCACCCTGTACTTTCTGGATACAATCACTGTGACAGATGAAGATGTTATCAATGTTATTAGAGATTCCGTAAGAGTTGTAAATTCTAACACAGTGTTCGGGGACTATATTGTTGACACAACTAAACTCTCAATAACAACAACATTACAAGTCTACGAGAAAGATCCCTTACCTGATATCAAATTCAACACAGTCATCAATGATCCATCTACCACAACATCAACCACATTTTCTTCTACAGAAATGGTAACAACATCTTCCACAAAAACAACAGAAATGTTCACAACACAAACGAGTTCAGCAACAGATGCACCAACGTCAACACAATCAACCACAGTGCAGACTACATCACCAGTATCAACAACAACCAAACTGACGTCAAATCCAGCAACAACAATTAAAACAACATCAACACAATCCACATCGAGTGGAACTACGTCAACAGTATCAATAACAGTTGAAGAAACATTGTCAAGGATTACATCCACGCCAACAATGTCAACAACAGTGGAAAGCACATCAGAATCCTCAACAGCACATGGGACTACATCTGCACATTTACTTACAGTTGAATCAACGCCAAAAATATCAAGTACAGTTGAAAGCACATCAGAGTCCTCAACAACACATGAAACTACATCTGCACATTTACCAAAAGTTGAATCAACGACAACAATATCAAAAACAGTTGCAAGCACACCAGAATCCTCAACAGCACATGAAACTACGTCTACACATTTACCAACGGTTGAATCAACGCCAAAAATACCAAATACAGTTGAAAGCACAACAGAATCCTCAACAACACATGAAACTACGTCTACACATTTACCAACGGTTGAATCAACGCCAAAAATACCAAATACAGTTGAAAGCACAACAGAATCCTCAACAACTCATGAATCTACACCTGCACATTTACCAACGGTTGAATCAACACTTGAAAGCACGACAAAACTCCCAATAACAGTTGAAATTACAACCACAGAATTGACAAAGGTTGAATCCACGGCAACAATTCCAACAACAACTGAAACCACATCAGAACAATCAACATCATCTAAAACCACTACGGATTCATTAGAAACAGTTAAGATTACGAAAACATCTTCAACAACAGTTTCAGGTACATCGTTTCTATCAACAACACCGAAAACTACAACTTCACAACTAACAACAATTGAAAATTCAAGTGATGCACCAACAGGAGATAAAACTACTCTAATGCCAGGGGACACTAGCTCTGCTTTATCAGCAGTTCAAACCACGTCAGATATTCTAACAACGCGTAACATGTCGACATCACCACCAGCAGTTCAAACCACGCCAGAGGTCCTAACAACACATTCCATATCAACATCACCAGCAACAGTTCAAACCACACCACAGGTCCTAACAACACATTCCATATCAACATCACCAGCAACAGTAAACACAACAGAGGTTCTAAGAACAACAACAGATCAAGGTAAATCATTAATACAGCCACCTTCTCAGATTTCAACAGATTTCTACTAATGTAGACAAAAAGTCATACAAGTAAAATAATTTTTAAAAAATAACCTTTCTATTTCTAGTTTTTCTATTTTCTTCTTGTCTCTTTTGATTTTAATAAAGAAAATTTTATAAACAAACAAATTTAATTGAATTTCTGTGGGTTCCTGTTTTATGCATTGTTCACAGGTTTGTAATGTTTGTAGGATTTTTTTAGATCGATCACTGTTCGTTATCTTTATCTATTTCATTGTTAGAATAGACAGAACCAAATCTAGTGGTTAGAAATGAGAATATTTATAAAATCTCTTACAATTAGTGCTTTACAGAAATCTAAAGGTAAATACATTCTTACAGCAATACCTCAGCATCGAACACATCACAGTCAAAATTTATTGCAATATATACGATACTCAAAATATACAAACTAGATCAACAAATATCTAATTCTTTTGCGATGAAAATAAATATTTTTACGAAAACATTGCTGATATAATCAGAATTTTTCACAACCTTAATGATTGTTACTTGATCAGTAGTGAGAGGGAAGATGAAATTCAACAATGTTTAAAAATGAACAAGAACATGACATGTGGCTATATCATCATTGCTCATTATATTTGTATCATTCTTTAACACAGAAAAAATATGTATCATTCTTTAACACAGGAAAAATTACATATTTCGATTCGGCTTTATTAGTCTTACCATCATTAGTGTGACAAAACATGAAATACCTCATCAACATCCTTGATAACAGATTAACCCTAATCTCACATGAACATAAAATATACAGGATTTCAATTTTTAATACCCAAACAGTAATGATAAGGGAAGTAATCATATTATCCTTTACATTAGTAGAGACCAAAACAACAGGATTATCACCCACGGAATATTCAATCTCACCATCAACCGAAGTAACTGTAGAAACCAAATCTGCAACACCAACAGAGACTTCCATTAGGACAACACAAAATCTATTTTCGTCAGACAAAAGAACGGAACACCTTACATCCACGCAGAATATATCCACCACAGAATTCTCTACCACTATTATCTTGTCTTCAAAAGGGACAGATGAATCACCTATAAATTATACGACAGTCCCTTCCTCAACAAGTCAATCCACGACATCAAATGCGGACGATAGGTTAACAAGTGTTCCATCTACCTTATCTTCCATGACGGAGTCCTCAACGTATGTAAACGCTGACAACAACAATACCACTTCCACGCCAGAGTCCTCAACGTTTGTAAATACTACCATCTACAACACCACTTCCACACCAGAGTCCTCAACGTATGTAAACACTACCATCTACAACACCACTTCCACGCCAGAGTCCTCAACGTATGTAAATACTAACAACTACAACGCCACTTCTCCGCCAGAGTCCTCAACGTATGTAAACACTACTATCTACAACACCACTTCCACGCTAGAGTCCTCAACGTATGTAAACACTACCATGTACAATACCACTTCCACGACTCAGTCCTCAACGTATGTAGATATTACTATCTACAACACCACTTCCACACAAGAGTCCTCAACGTATGTAAACACTACCATCTACAACACCACTTCCACGACACAGTCCTCAACGTATGTAAACACTACTATCTACAACACCACTTCCACACCGGAGTCCTCAACGTATGTAAAAACTACCATCTACAACACCACTTCCACGCCAGAGTCCTCAACGTATGTAAATACTAACAACTACAACGCCACTTCTCCGCATGAGTCCTCAACGTATATAAACACTACCAGCTACAACACAACTTCCGCGCCACAGTCCTCAACGTATGTAAACACTACCATCTACAATACTACTTTTATGCCAGATTCCTCAACGTATGTAAACGTTACCATCTACAATTCCACTTCCACTCCAAGACTGCCTTCCTCTGACACTTCTTTAAATTATACATCTCTCTCAACCATGAATCTAACGCAGACAACAAATTCTTATTTAAGTACAGCAGGTGAGTGTTTTTCCCAATTCTAACGTCATTTATTCTGACAAAATAAACTCAATAGCTGTTCAAATTATCATAATGTTTTTGTAGGATTTTAAAAGTATACACATATTTCGTAACCATGCACCACATTTGTAATGAAATATGAAGATAACGAACAGTAATCAAGCTCAGAAGCCCATATAAAAGTCCATACAAATCGAGAGCAGAGCAAACACGGACCTCTGAAAACATCAGAGGTGGGATCAGGTGCCATGGAGGAGTGAGCATCCGCCGTGTGCTCCTTGTCATGATCTGGTAAACGAGAAGAAAAAAAATTCGTGGAGAATTCAGTGTTAAAAAATGGCCAAACAATTTTTTATGAAAAACGTCAGACAACATTCGACTTAATTAAAGATTGTATTTGCTGATTTGCCTCATTTTGAGATAACACAGACGATGTTTCCTTCATTTCAGATGTATCATTTCCTAGTGCTACCGTCTTTGCTAAAGTCGATACTATCTTGGTATGTACAGTCAACGTGGTCGACAAATGGAGCATCGTGACGGCTGGTCAGGAACTGGACTCTGATATCTCTGACCTTGCAGTGTACTTCAGTAATGGAACAGTATCTGAAAAAACAACGAACGATTTAACTACTGTCACTTTTACAGGAGATAATGAGACTATACTAGTAACGTTTAAAGTTCAGCTAAGCTCTGTGGCATTGTGTCCTTCACTACTTCGTCTAACATGTGGAATCAAAATGATGGACTTTGCAGAGTCGGTCATTACAAACATTAGCATCGTTCACATTACCGGTAAGCTCATAGTTGTTCTACCTAATCGGTGAGGAAGTGTTGTTTTATGACTTTTCATCTGTTGCCTACATTCATTAGGGCAAGAAATTGCACCAAAAAGGAAAATTTTGGCAGTTGACAGTAAGACATTGAGCATGATATTTTTTAATAGATAAATTCATTTTTTAGCACCAGTCAGTAACGTGACTCTGGACATGAGCCCAACATTTTACATTGGAGAAAGATTAGAACTGACCTGCCGGACAAAAACCGACTTTGAGTATGGTGACGTCATATTAGAAATTCAATTAGCAGATGGATCAAGATTGCAAGAACCTGCAAAGCGGAGCAAGTACTTAACAGCCAGAAACACTGACTGTTCCGTAGACTTTGATTGGACTTTCAAAAGCGACTTTTCTTTGGAACAGTACATGAATGGTTCTACAATACGCTGCATGGCATCAAACAGATTGATGAATGACGCTGTAATTACATCGAGAGTCATTATTGTTCTGTCGTCTGGTATGTTACAATTCTATAGCATTGTTATTGTATTCTTGTATCTTATCTTGCTTAATTAATACAGGTTTATGATTAAATATGAAAAATTGATTTTTTAAAAATGTTTTTTAAGGTGCGATGTAAACTTTAATAAAAGAAAGTTTGTATACTTATGTTTCGAATTTTTTTCATTCCTTTTATTCCATATATATTTTCAGTTTTTACTACTTTATTTAAACAACTTCTTTTTTTATTTATTTTTCTTTTAAATTTCAGATGTGTCCTTTGTCCAGTACTATGTTTCTGGTAAGCCCGGTGAGCGGGTGAATATCACTTGCAAGACAAATATAGCAACATCTTCTATACAGAACATTTCAATATACAAAATATCCAACAATACAAACGTTACCATAACGACTTACACTAATGGAGTGATTACGGACGATCCTGAAACTACAGGAATCGGAAGATTTCAGAACGGAACATTAACAGTGGTGTTTACGAGCTTACAGTGTAGCGACGAAGCACAATACTATTGTACAGTTACTTACGGAAGTACTCAAATAACGTCCCCACGCTTCCTGACATTACAACCGACAAGTAAGTCTGTGAGCCATTGTCTACAAACTTTAAAAAAATGATCTCTCCTTGAATTAACAGTCTTCAGAATCTTCGGTAAGGCTGAATATTCCTTTTTTTGTACTAGTATATTTTTCTCAAATTTCATTGTAAATCTGAGTAGTAAATCTGTAAACATAGGTTACAAAAGACAGTTTTTTCTGCAATAACTACGTTTGGCTAATGTGAAGAAACTCACCTGGATCTAATACGTGTATTGCTTTTTTTTTTAAATTCTTTCTTCAAGAAACCAAAGTATTTTCTGGGTTTTTTTTCTGTATTTTTAAGTTTTTAGGAATTAAGCATTTACAACTCCCAAATTAAACCCTTTTGCTGAAAAAAGAATAATATTGAAATTCTTTGGTGCTAATTTTATAAATTTACCAGCTCCGCATGTACAGATACCTCGGGCTACCATGCAAATGCATATTACTGACTACATGTAGCAAGAGATATTGGGGTTTTACTTTCCTATCAAGCTTCATTATACACACACTGCTTCTCTGAAAACACCCCAAAAAGCCTGATTTCGGATTGGTTCCATACCCTATGAATGGTATAGATGACACAAGTCATATATAGTATGTGTGAGTGCACCTCTTCCCTCCAAATCCATGTATCAATATTTCTAGCTATCTTAACACCCAAAATATGCATTAACACCTGTTCTTATTTTATTTCAAATATTTGACAGTTACTAGTGAGTGTTTTATTTTAAACTTCCATGTGCAATCATGTCATACTAATAAAATGGAAAATGTTTCAAATATATCATGAGGAATTAAGAAATAGTAAATTCTACTATTAGAGTAGATACATAAAAACACGAGAAAGTCAAAGTAAGAGGAATTTTAAAAAAATCATTGTTTATTGTGAGGTTAAACATGTTTCATTTGTAATTTAAAGAAGAGTCATCATCATATCATATCATCAGATATTCTTAGCTTCTTCCCTTTTAATTATAACAGCTACGGCGGGGTCCACACCGGTGTTGCTGTCTCTCAATGTAGACATTGTAGAGGAAACTTTCCGTTACACATCAGAACACTCCTGCTCCGGTGAGATCGGGTATCCGGAAGTCAACGGATTTCTCTCCCTTACATTTACCAATCCCAAAACCCAAGAATCAGTTATATTCAACGAGAGAGTGATTTCAGATTCCATGAAAATTGTTGATCGAACTGTATCAATATATCGCTACAGTGTCTCTCTAGCTGATGGTTTGACATTACTAGTGAAAGATGATACCAAGCAAAATGAAAGTTGTTCAACTGTCCATAGACTTAAATTCTACCTCAATGTTTCTAATCAGTGGAATGAAGGTCAAATTAAATGTGAGATTCAAACAGAAGATGCCCCGGTTCTGTCAAGTGTAAAAGAAGAGAAATTTTTCGTCATTCCAGGTAATGATCCTGTTTTTCTGAGATTTTTGGTAATATTCTTATGGTATTCAGTTCCCCTTCTTGTGGTTTATGTTCAATTTGTGGTTGAAAAGTATTTGTGAACAATTAAAAATCTTGGTGAATTTCAGCTAACGCATGTGAAGATTTCAATGAAACAGGAGCATTTTTTATTGACCATGAGATAATGGATCACTGTAACACATACATTCAATGTCAGAAGAACCAGCCCCCTCTTGGGTCGAAGTGCCCAAATGCTGACCACTGTGCCTATATTGGAAAAGATTACTGTGACGAATGCAGTCGTGCAGTATGCACAGAAGTGCCAACAACTTCAGGTACAAAGAGTAAGAAGTCACAAAATCCAGTAATTGCACGAAGATTGATTATAAAAAGTCATTCGATAATATTCTTAAATTGATTTTGAATGTACAGTAAAACGATGGTAACCTTTTCTGTCCAGAAAATGATAAAAGTCCTTTGAAATTATTTGCAACTTTGTAATTGTTTTCATCTAAACTAAACTAATTTCAAGAAATAATAATAATTTAATGAATATCTAGATAATATACATTTTCATTTTAGAATCTTACTGATTTGTTTTCATTTAAATTGTTCTGAAAGATATTAATCTCTTTTTCCTTGGGGGTGGGGGTGGGATGGGATTAGCTAACTTGAGCTGAACTCTCATTCAGGTTTCTGTGATCCTCTTTTGATATTTACCCGTTTGCCATCTGTTTGTCCATTACTTTTCATTTTTTTTCTTTTGTTCCAAGGACCACTGGGCTTTTTTCAGCTAATCTTGTCATGGGACTTCTAATTCAACATTAATTTTCAGGCATGTTTACAAACATGTTGCATAGATTCATTTTTTTCAATAATTGCCCGGGGCCATGAAATGGGATTTCAAAATGCTGCATAAGAATATATATCCTATAACAATTTTCTGTTATTTGATTTCTTAAGACAATAGGGCAATTTAATATGCAAACATTTCATTGTAGTGTAGGTTTATTTTCATTCCAATAATGTTAATCATTGCTAATAGATCCAAGTGGATTCAAAGTGTGTAAAAAGATTCATTAGAAAATGCTTTCCATGGAACTACTAAGCAAAAAATTTATACAATGTATTGTTTTGAAAAAAAAATCTGCTAACCTGATACGAAAATTTAAATTGTGTTGAAATGTTGGACTTTAAATCAATGGACTATTTATTTGTGACGCAGAGAAAGGTGACTTCGGTGAGCGTTTTGGCTTATGAACCTCTTTTTCTTACACTTCAGTTTTGACTACACCATCTTCTACTTTTCCCACAACTGCTGCCACGAAGGGACACACGTGTAAGGAAATTGTTCATTCCTAATTTGTAAATTTGTTTAGTGAATTTGTAGCTATAAGAAACATTTGCAAGTATAATTATTCTTTTTACGAATATTTAGTATTAAAGAAAGTTAAAAAGGTTTTATTTTTAAACTTCTACCCTCACGATTGATGCTTTTTTCACGTACTTGATAAAAACATGTATTTTAGATATGGAATGCACTTCGGTCTCCATCTTCCTGAGTGAATCAGCAAATGTCAATTGCAACCTTAACATTTCAACATTCTTGTCCCTTAATGTATCAAAATCA